AGAGATGCCAGGAAAAAAAGTTGAGTTTGGGAAATAATACCTTCAGTGGCTCAGAAGCCGGCGTCTCAAGCACTGCCCTCAATATACCACTAAAATCCCTGCTCCTCCAAGCCCGGCACCTCTGGGCATCTGTCTTACCATCTACAAACTGGGATGGCAACACCATCCTCGGAGAGCCCAAGTATATTTGTTGAGCTGACTTCCTGCTGCACCTGGAAAAAAGGGTACATCTTACTGTGGACTACAAGGATCTGTCCTGTGCTGTCTACAGGACCTGTGCTGTCCACACGGAGTTTGTGATCCACCAGGACCTATGGGGTCTACTGGACCTGTGCTGTCCACACGGAGTTTGTGATCCACCAGGACCTATGGGGTCTACTGGACGTGTGCTGTCCACACGGAGTTTGTGATCCACCAGGACCTATGGGGTCTACAGGACCTGTGCTGTCTACAGGGCCCTTGATCTACAACAACTATGGGGTCTATGGGACCTATGCGGTCTACAGGGACCTGTAGCTCCTTGAAAACACAATCAGCAAGTAAGAGTCTGGACCATTTGATTTTACGACGCAAGATCAAGAGCCTTCTGGCCCTGGAACTGGGAACACATACCCCAGAACAGCTCAGAAGCCCCTCAGGGGTCGTACACTCGGCGCTCAGCGAGAGGAGGGAAGCTCTCACTGATCTCCCCCACTTTCCCGCGCACATTCGGATGAGATTCTGTCTGCACACCGCAGTCCCTGGCCTCGCCTTACATGCGTGCAGGGTGATAAACGTCCCGATGACAAGTCGTGCTCTCTCGTACCCTGGAGCAGGAGGGTCTTTCCTTGGCGGGATCATTTTATTTCCACAACACACATGTTCATTTATATCTGAATGATCATCATGACTTCACCTTTTAAAATTCTGTTAACAAAACTCTCTGGAGGAGACTGAAATGAGAACTCATGCCTGGCCCCGCAGCAGTGACCACGCCATCATGACCCGAGAGGACTGGGATTCCTGCCTACATTCTCCTTCCCCTGGAAGGGTAGAGAACTGAGTGCTATTCTTTTCCTAGTAAGTCAACTTCTATGTGCGTGTGCGTGTGTGAGTGCATGTATGCACACGCATGTGTAACGTGTGTGTGCATGTACAGGTGCATGTGCAAAGAACACGCCACTCGGGTACAGTCCACATCCTCACGCAGGCCCTGAACCAAGTCATCAGCCGTCCTGTGCTTCAGTGTCGCCATCTGGGCTTTGAGGCTAATAAGAGTTGATGAGGGTTAGACGGGAGAATTCAGATAGTTCTACATAGGTGCCTGACACATAGTAATTACTTCGTAAAATAGTTATTGGTAACAGCTCACATCTGCAAGCTCATCCTACTACATGAAAGTTGGTCAGAAACACCTCTCCATAGACTCGTTAATTGAAAAAATATTTTGGGGGCAGCAGGCACAGCGGTAATGTTTCCTTACTCTATAACTACAGCCTAAATCCGGGTTGTGACTAATTAGGTTATATTTTATTAACCATTCAATCTCTATCAGAGCATTTAAAGCATATGAGTGAGGTGCAGAGCAAACAACAGACCCAAACAGCCAAAGTCCAGCTCAGAAAACAGCATCTCGCTCTTGGGGTCCCCACGTGCACCTCCAAATGCACCCGCCCCTCCCCCACAGAGGCAACCACGGCCCTGAATTTGGGGGTGCTCAATCCTTGGTGTTTTTTCCCCTAGCTCTTATCACACCATGTATGCATTCCTTAACAAGATGTCCTTTAGTTTTGCCTGTTTTCAAACTTTATATAAATGAAATCATGATGTACGTATGATTCTATAATTTGCTTTTTTCACATAAAATTATATCTGTGAGCTCTTTCTGCACTGATGGGTGAAGCTGCAGTGCATTTATTTTCACTGACTGCGTCATCTTAGTACACCAAACTGGATGCATCCATTCCCCCGCATGTGGAAATTTGGGGGCCCCAGGCTTTTCTATGGAGGACATGTTTGTGCATGTCTCCGGTGGCCCCTGAGCACATCCTCTCCAGGCCATGGGTCCCAGAGACTGGATCCCAGGAGACAGACGCCTGGCTTGAAACCATGAGTTAATGCTACAGTTAATGATGAAGGTATAGGAGACACATGGCGACTATTCTAAAATATTTCATAATCCCCAATGCCATTTATAAAAACAAACCATCCTTCTCTCTGCTTCTGGTCAGGGTGACATTGTTATCAGTGTGATGAGACTGGACTGGAGAGGCAGCTCGTGGTGCGTCAGCAGTCAGAGGCGACAGGCTACCTCCTCCGGGACTCTGCATCCAAGTGTGAGCTCTCTCCAGGAGAGCGCCACCAGCTTCACGTGTGAACTCTCGAACACCCCACCAGTGACTTCCTTGCTTCCCAATTTACAAAGTGCTTGACGATTATTGAAGTTTGGAACCGTGCTTAGCCCTTCACTTCAGGATCACACCAGAAGAAAACATGCAGTGAAATGGTTGACACTGGTTTTTGAAATCTGGGGTGATTAGGTCCATCAGAACAACTGGATTATGTCCCTAATTCTCTCTGACTCGCTGAAAGCACCAAGAGTGGACTGTGTCGGTGTCATTCTATTCCTGCTCATTGTCAGGGCTGGAAATGAAGGACGAGACCCGGGGACCAGGCCACGACACCCAGTGAGGGGTGGGTGTGTAGGGAGAGGGAGGGATCAGGTCTTTGGGGGCATCTGGGGGTAATCTTGGTAACACGTGTTTGAGGACGTTTTCAATGTCAGCTCTGGAGTCACCTTGGGAACCAAACTAAACCCACGGAGCTCAGTTGTCATGGTAGAAATATAATCATGATTTTTTCCGCATCAGAACAATTAACTTCATTCAGCTGGTGTTCCCTGCATGTTGGGCACTGGTCTGGGCTCTCACATACCCTCACAACCCTGTGACATGCCCTCCCACCCGCGGCCAGCAGAGGGCGGCACAGGCCCACTGGGCACCTTCACGAGGCCTCAGCATCTGAGGAAAGAATCTCAATAGGAGTCGTGGTACCTCTCCTTGCCCCAGAGGATGGCCCCCGGCAGCGGATGGGGTAGAGGACAGCCAGCCAGGAGACTTGCAGACACCGCAGAGACAGCACCTACAGGGAACCAGCCCTTCTCTTGCTGCTAACAGCCTTAACTGCTATTAACTGCCCAGTTCCTGTGCTGTCTCTGCTTTCGCAGATGTCCTCCTAAGTGGCGGGGGACCCCATCAGCCACACTTGCATGGGTGGGGTAAAAGAAGGACCAGCCTGCGAGTCCCCAATGGGCTGGAGCGATAGGCCCTGTCTGCATCCTCAGCCCAGCCTGGGACCTGGCAACAACACACACAGGAGTGACCCACTGTCTACAGCACGCTGGCTCCCAGCCAGGACACGTGGGCTGCAGAAGCCACATGTCCGGCCAGCTCAGTGAGGCCGGACTTCCGCAGGGAGACTTACCCACTGAGGGTGTGAGCAGAGGTTTGTCTGACGGGCAGATGTGCACCCAGAGGGGCCGGGTGACATCCAGTTGAAGTCTGTGGCATTCAGGATTTTGGGAGCAGGCAGGAGCACAGCAACAATAGTCTGGGGACAGAGGCAGAAGTCTGGCTCCTGCAGCGTGTGCTAGGGTTAAAGCCCGCCAAATGCCACAGGACACGCACGTTCCAGAACCTGCCAGCCTCCCTGGGGGCTCCAGTTGGACCCCTGCCCTCTAGCTGCTTCCTCCTGCACAGCCTTACATTCGAGGTGCAGCAAATAACCACTTGGGGGTGCCCAGGGAGAAGCTTCAAATGATACATTCTCCACGGAGAGTCCATACTACAGCCTCCAGCGCATGAGAAGATGGGAGGGGAGGGTGTCTGGCTCTCAGCATCGGAAAGAGTGCACTGGCTCAGTGCATCCTGAATGACCTGATTAGCAACCATCAATTTGGGGTGAATCTTAGAATATCTGGGAAGGAGACTACACACATACATCAATACCATGGTTCCAACATGCTTCCTCACATCCTGCAAAGTCACATAACTCACGGCCATGCAGAGCTGAGCAGCATGAGTGCATGCCTCAGTGTGCTGTCAGCAACAACCTACCTCGAGCCTTTAAAACAATCGAATACTGGGAATTGGCCACACTGATGTATAAGTGTTAACGAGTCAACTGCGGAAACCCAGGAGTCAGCGACGCCCCAAGACTCAACCACCACTGGGCTGGGGGGACCTGAGGACAACCCAGAGGTGGTTATTGCCAGACTCACCTGAGACAGGCGAGGACCCTGGATTCTCCCTTCCGCACCCCCCAGTCTCCCAGCTGGGCCCACTGCATGACTGACCCCAGAAGGAAGATAAGGAAGACAGTAGCCAGGAGTGCAGCCTGCAGGAGCAGTGCAAGGCCAGGGGTGAGTGGACCTGAGGCCAGCGAGCTGTGGGCAGACAGGCGGAACAGCCTGTCTTAGACACAGAGCTGCATCATTCCCATCCACAGGGAGGTGGACCCAAATCCATCTAGCTAGCATGGTGGAGAACAGACAGGGAATCAATGCAGTGTGACTAGGCTGATGTAGGAGGTTCCTGAAATGTGGCTGAATGTAACTGGGGAATTGTGTGTGTATATATGCATATTCACGTGTGCATTTACTTCTCCAACTCCTGATATCTGCTTCTTTGGTTTTCAGTAGTCTCTCATTATACGTGGTGTACAGAATTCTAAAAACACATCAGGAAATGATTTTTCTGGCACTATAATCAGATTTCTTGCTTAGTGATATGAAATCTGACGACTAGTAGACTGTAAAAGTCTGAAAATTTTCCTGAGAAAAACTTTAAATATTCAGAGGAATGTTCTTAAAGAAAACCCAAATCAGGCTAATGTGGTTGAAAATGTTCCAATAGGGCTTTAAAAAAAAATTTCCTGTGTAGTTAATGCAGGATTCTTTGCCTCTGAAATGCAACCCAATTCCCCAAATTCTTACATAAAGTGTGCACGAAGTCACACAAAAGGAGATTTTGACAATGATTTTATTTCCAGCAACTATGACCTCATCTTCGAGACTTAGGGGACTTCAGGCCATCGAGAGGCACTTCTTGATGAAGTAGCCCACGAGGCGCTGAGGCCGCTGCTGGTACTCGGCCAGCACCTCGTGAGGGCTGCTGATCTGGTCCCCTTTCAGGCGGTTGAGGAGAGTGACACACACCACAGCCGCTGCAAAGAGAAAGCCCACGTCAACACAAAGACTGGATTTCCAGCTTAGTTCACTGAGACAGACGAGGTGTCACTTCTGCTGTCGGCTCAGAAGGGGCCAACAGCGGTGTGTTGGTAGATGGAAAACACAGAAAGGCTTAGAAGGCCTTCCAGGAGGCAGGAATTCTAGAAGGCAGAGCTGGGCCTTCTAGGAACTCAGGGGAGGATTAACCCCAAATCAAAAATCCAGAGAGCTCTGAAAGCCAGCTTCACTGCAGGGTTGGCAGCAAAACCTGACCTGAGCTGAGGTGGGTCTTTCGAGCATCCTTCTCATCCCACTTAGCGGCATGCGAGTCATGGCAGAGACACTCACAATCCTGCATTTGACCGCATGACAATCAAAGGTGGTCAGAGCACAGGGGTGAGGGATGCACCCCGTCCAGAAACACGCCTTGGGGGTGGGGTGGGCAGAAGGCAGGTGCTGGTGGGGGGCCCAGGAGGAGGATCCGGAGGAGGGCGTGGAGGCTGAGCCAGTAGGGCGGAGGAAGGGAAGAGGACTGCGGCGACCAAATGCCCACCTACCTCGGAGGCCACACGCGCTGCACATGGCAGCAAAGACTGAGGACTCCATCTCAATGTTCCGGACGCCGGCCGCGTAGGCCGCCCGCAAATACTCCTGCTTGTCCTTCTCCGTGTAGGAGCAGAGAGCACCGTCCAGACGGCCTTGCCCTGCAGACACGTGGAGATGCGCCAACGCTGACTTGGGTGCACGCACCACACGCACATAGTAGTTCCTTCCGCATGCCAACACCATGTTACCCACCAGGACACAGGGACACTTTTGATCCCTCCAGGCCCTGCCTGCCCTGGAGCCCAAACTGCCCGCTCAGAAGCAGAGTGTTACCACCACCGTGGAAATGTTGACGAGAGAAGAGCCAGGGGCGATAGGGAGAGCCCCATGCAGGAGACCAGCCCACCACTGGGAGGCCACGCCCATCCCTCTCACCTTCATAGAAGTCCAGGGTACACATGGTATTTCCCACGACCGTGGTGAATTCACTCAGGTCTGTGGACCACTGCATCAGCTCCTGCGCAAGCTGCTCATCCAGGTCCGTGCTCCGAACAACTCGCTTCCCCAAGACCACCTGCTCGAACTCCGGCTTGAAGCAGGCGTCCACTGCCTGCCGGGTAATGACCACAGAGCCAGGCTCCAGACCTGAAGGAAGAAGTAGATGTCACGGCCACTGGGGGCGGAAAGGGGCACAGCAAAGCACATGCAGAAAGGAAAATGATCCATCTACGCACCAAAATACTGAAGCATCAGTAACGTTCTAAAGAGAAATAGGTAAGGATCCATTTCCTGCATCAAATGTTTTCTTCTGATGATAAAGGTAATTAATGCATAAACATTGCAGAAAATACAGAAGAGAAAAGTACAAAGAAGAAAGCAGAAATTGCCAGGAACCTGCCCATCTTGTGCTAAGTGTTTTACGCCTTCCCGTACTCACCATTTGTAACTGTCGGGCACTCCATTACCAGGATGTGTTTAATTGGTCCCTGTTTTGTACCTTTTAATTATTTAAGATTTCAAGTAAATACAAAAGTAGACAAGAATAGTATAATGAACCCCACACACCCAAACCCAGCTCCAACAATTACCGACTCCTGACCAATCGCATCTTCCTCTGGGACTGATGCCTTACTGGGGCCCGGGCATCCCTTCCCAAGTACGTTCATGTTTGTGGGGACATTGTTCTGCTCCTTATTCTTTGGTCTTGTAATAACTTTGTATGGGATTTGACCATGAGCCTTTCTTGATACTTATTTTAATGTGAACCTGGTTTTTCTAAACATCTAGGAAGGAGGAAGAAGTCAGGAGATCTGTCCTGGAGCCCCAGGCGGCTCCAGGGAGACGTAGGAATGTGGCAGAGCACTAAGACCTGGCTCTGCTTTGCTCCCCTGTGAATGTGTGTCTGGATTTTCTCTCTTGCCATTTTGGTCCCTGTCTGGTTAACTCAAATTCTGCTCTTAGCAGGTTCTCCCCACACTGAGGCTGGACCTGGAAGAAAGCTCGGGCTGACAGCTTTCATGAGTTCATAGGGCCCAGAAAGTTCAAGCCCCTTCAGATGTTAGCATCACCCTCAAATCAGAGCGTGCAAACCCCCTCCCAGTGTCAGCTGCTGCTCCTAACACAGGTCCTGCACTTTCCCAGAAGTACCTGGTGGCTATTTGGGGATTGCTCTGTTCTCAGAAACCTGTAGCCACCCCATGCTTCCTCTCGAGCGGGTGCCCATACCACCCACCCACCCACCATTCCTATTTTGGGATTTGTGGGGACAGTGTGTCACACTTGGTCATCAATCTTGTCTGGGGATCTAGGGTTTGGCTCTCTAACTGATCTGTCCATTTTTATGGGGCAACTGCAGGAGACAAAATCTACACCACTCCCTCCAGAACTCTCTCTGATCACCTATTTTAAAAATCCCTCCAAAGCAAGAACTCAGGAACGATTTGCTCGAGTTCTTGGCAGACGCTGGCATGAGTGCACAGCTGTAAGTATCTATCTGGTCAATGGTATCAGAGACCAAGCCTGCAGGACCCAGACAGCTCATGGGCATTGGTATGTTTTCCCGAGAACAACTTCTTTAAACATTGAATTATAATCTGCAAACACAGATTCTGCATATCAATTTGTCAGTATAATGAAATGAGAAAGCCAGATAACGCATCCAGAAGATTTGGGGTCTATAGCAATCCCCTCTCATAGTCAGAAAACCTAAATTTGAGAATTACTATAAATCCAGGAGAGGCCAGGCCCAGACAGTCAGAAACAAATGGACAGGCTGGGCCGGTAACAGCAAGGCTACTGCAGGTGGCTTCCGGCAGCTCCAAGCTCCTGGGTGGGAGCGAGAATTGCTAGGACCCAGTTTTCAGCAGAAAGACTGGCACAGAATTGGACAGAGCAGGAGAACTCATCTAAGACGAATTTGCCAAACAGACTTTGGCTTAAAACCCAACACAACTTTCAGCATTTTGCTTTCTCCTTGCATCCTATTCTTTCTTTGCTGTCTTTGTGGTGTTTAAACAAAACCAAACAAAACCACGTTGAGGGCTGGGGACTTTTTAGGTAACTTAAGGACACTTATCTCAATTTTGTTTTCCATCTCTCTCTTCCCCTTTGACTTTCCTGACGGTTTTCTCACAAGGTGCTTCAAATCCTTGCAGGAATAGGGAGGAGAGGTGAGCAAAGGAAAGGAGAAAGGCAGAGAAGAAGGGGATTAGAAAGAATAAGAGAGATGATTGAGCAACAAGAAGGCACAGGGTATAACCCAAAGGACGCGCTTCTGCATACGCACGGCCTGGGGCTTTCCACTAACATTCCTGGGGTGCAGCCTGGGAGAGCGGACTGAACAAAAAAAATAACAAAACAACCTTCTTTTCATGCCTCCTGCTCATGAGCTTCCTGGAACAAAGCCAAGGAAGAAGATCTTGGCGCTCAAGCCCGCCCCACACTGGCCTGCTGCAAGGTGGCTCCAGGTCCTCGTCCACTCAAGGCTCGCCACAGACAGAGGACCCTCCGCACACTTACCTATCCCACCAGAGGTGCCGATGCGGATGATGGTGACGCCGGAGCACCGGGCATGGTACAGCAGCTTGATGAGCTCGTGCAGCATGATTGCAATGGAAGGAATACCCATACCGTGCTGGAACCAGGAAGAAACACCAAGGTTAAGCCTGAGGTGGTGCCTTTGAGTGTTCTGTGGCGCATTTCAAACTGGCAGCAACAGCAGATATACTTCAAAACGTAAATTTAAAACTATTAACACTTTGGGAAGCGTGAAGGTTTGCACGAAGCTGTTGAACAGATGGCCCCCTTTGATCCACACATCCTGTGAAACAGGTAGCAGCTGAGGACTGGAGGGTCAGCATGGAAGCCACAGCCCACTACTGCTAGGTAACAAACAGCCCCACTGGCACTGGAAGCCCTGCACAAATGCCCACCCCACACACACCTGTTGGAGTTCTAGCTGTTTTCACTTTTCTCCATTCACTCTCTGCTTCAGCCAAACTAAGTAAGTGGCTGTCTCTCAGGCCCCTGGACACTGATGCTTCCTGGTTCTGCCTGTGCCATTTCCTCCCATCGGAGTCTCTCTACCCCTCGCCTCCTGCCCTTCTTTAGAGGCCCTCCCAGTGCCACATCTTCCACGATACCCCTTCTGGGATGCCCTCAGCACTTCCAGGTGCTGCTCCTAAGGCAGAAGCATTCCTTTGAGAATGTGTTTATTGCGGTGTCTTGCATAATTTATGCTTCCATGAATTATCTGGACTGAATAACATCTTGACTCACTGGTGTGTTCTGGATGGCTGATGCTACCAGATGTCTCAGCTGACCAGAGAGAGAGGAGTACTCATCTCAACCACAGGGATAGCCTTAACTCTCTGTAGCAACCAAAACTAGAAAACGAGAAGGTTTTTTTCGTGGAACATCAAACATTTCTGTGTCCACTCATTGCTAAATCAGTGAGTATGAAGTAACTCACTGTGAGGTGGCAGAGAGGACCTAGGCCTGGTACCTGGCCGTGGCCCTCCTCACGGCCTTGGTCCAGGCAGCTCACCTCCTCCCATGTCTCCACCCTGAGACCTTCACCGTGTGTATACAGCTGGGTGTATGTGGACATATGTTTGCATTTGCGTGTGGTCTCTCCTAGAGGCTGGGCCTGGAGGGCCGGAGCCTGGGCCCCACCATCTCTGCAGCCCCGCTGCGGGCTCACTTGGTCCCAGCCTGATGGAGTAAACACCTGGTCTATGTGTGTGGAGGGCGGGCGGGGAGCTTGCAGAGCCCGAGCACCGAGCCCCCACGAGCAGCAGGTACTCACACTGACAGACAGCACAGGTCCCACTTTAAACATGGCGTAGCGGTCCGTCCCTGCACAGATGTTGGGATAGTCCACTCCTGGGCGGTCAAGGCCCAGCTCTGAGGCCACATATCTGATGAAGGCTTTCATCCGGGAAGGGCTTCCCCCAACACACACAAACTGCAGACAGAGAGCAGAGTCACCGTCAGTGCAGGTGCAGCACACGGTCTACACAGAAGGTCTTCAAGGGGGGTCCTGACCAGCAACATCAGCATCTCCTAGAACTTGCTAGAAATTCCAGCTCCCTGGTCCTAGCCTGGACTTGCTGTGTCTGGGGAGCCAGCAGTGTAACCCTCCTGGTGATTCTGATGCTCACTCGAGTTTGAGAATCCCCGGTTCATGAAATCACCACCCAGTGCAAGAGGCCCCGGCAGTGCAAAGCAACCGGCTCCACAAAATGCAGGAAAACCAGACCCTCGCTCTCTCTAGGAAAGTAATTCCAGGTTCCATGCCTGCCCGGTCTCCGTCCATCATGTGGACAGCAGCTCGCTGTACTGGAAGGAGCCTGGGTTTGCAGTAAGAGGGTGCAGGCTCCTCACTATGCCCCCAGGGCCCCACAGCCCATCTGTAAAATGGGCCTCTAACCGCCGCCTCTCACCTGGCCATCCGAGGGCCAAATGGTCAACGCATGGAAAGAGCCAGGGGCCCAATGGGGGCTTGAGAAGTCGTAGCTTTGGGGGGTGGGTGGCTCTCAGAGAAGTAAAACCTTTAATCTGCAAAGCACCGTACACGAAAACTTACTTTTCATTTTGTCTTATATAAGAAAACAAGTAAATAAGCCAGTTTTAAGGAGTTTGATGATCAAATAATTATTAGTCTCTAAACACAAAAAAGAAAATTTCTATAAGCCTAGAAAAAATTATAGTTAAACTTAATGGAAAAATGAAAATTGAATCAATTAAGGACACATGGAAAGTCGTCCCACAGTTGAACACCACAAAAGACCACAGTGGCTGATGGGACACAACTCCCGTGGGATATGATGATCCCATGTAACCACAAGGCACTCCAGTGTCACTTGTTTGTTTTGATTTGAATTCTAAACATTAGTCCATCTTTACCCACAGGATTAGACATTTTAAAAGTCCTGTGTAAGGACAAATCAGAACAGAGGAACTTAAGACTTTGTAGAGAAAATGCACTGGAAGCTGCATTCAGCAAAATAAGCCATTAAAGGCAATTAAATAGTATCAATACGCACCCTAAATTACAAACAACAGACACATCATTATTCCTACTTAGTACCCCTTGCTCCTCTAGAAAATGTTCTGTATCTCCCTTTTCCTTTTCTCTCAATGAAGCATTAGCAAATTTATTTTATACTGTTTCCATTATATACTAAATTTGTAAGAGATTAACTAGGAACCAATATGGCTGTACTTAAACGATAATTTTTACTTGCTGATTTACGTACTTGAAAAGGAACAATTTAAAAAACTCTGTCTGATAAGCATGTTACTTCATGAGCCTGTCCTCCGTCACCTCAGTCTCGGGGAGGAAATCTACCTGTATCACCTACAAGCAGGTTGATCTCAAGACAAATCCCAAGACGGAATCGAAAGCCCTGCTTTTTACCTTCACATCTCCAAACATAGCCGGGAAATCATGTGTGGTGGTGCTGAGGTTGAAATGGTAGAGAACATCTTCTTTCATGGTTGCTACATGTGGATTGCAAAGTTTTACGAAGCAGTCACTGTTACAAAACAGGAAAGCAGAAGGTTTATGGAACACCAGTGTCCAGCGGCCGACATGATTACAGAAGTGCCCTCTGTCAGTGAGATGCATGCAGCACATGGTGGGTAGCGTAAGATACCCTAGCATGGCAAAGCCTCCCACTTCCCTGTCTCCATTCTTTCCCCTTCTCCTTCCCCTCAACAGCCCTCTTCATACCCAGGGCCCCTGTTTGGAGGGTGATCAGAAAGAACTCAGAAGAGCACAAAAAAGTACGAAGAACAAAATGCTACATTACCCCTTATCGAGAGTACACCCAGTTGTGACCCACCTCACGTTCATTCAACACATAAACTTGACTGTAAAATTAATATGTTCACCATAGGAAATATGGACAGAAATAGAAGAAAAAATTCCTCTAATTCTCCCACCCAGAGATAACCTTTCCAATCTTACAAGAGATAACCTTATATTTCTTTTTCTTGTCTTGTTGCACTAGCCAGCACTTCTCCTGTACAATGTCCAATGGGAGTGAGGAGATAAGACACCTTTTCATTTTGGTTTCTTCCAATATGGTTACTAGAAAGTTGTGTGGCTCACATAATTGTTTCTACCGGACAGCATGCTGCTGGCCTAGTATAAGGGTCAGCAAACTTTCCAACATAAAAATCCAGACAGTAAGTATTTTTGGCTTTACAGGCCATATGGGCTCTGTCACAACTTCTCAACTCTGCTGCTGTCACATGAAAGTGGTCACAGACAACACCCAAATGAGTGTGGTTGTGTTACAGTGAAACTTTATTTACAAAACTAGACGCCTAAGTCTAGATTGCACCTTCACCAGACAAATCCCTTAGAGCAAACCCTAAACACGCCTTTGACGTCTGTGCCCTCCTGACTCCCACAGACAGGTGCACTGCCCAGCAGGAAACCCAGGCCTGCCAGGTGCCAGGGGCACAGAGGGAGATAGACATGGATCCTTGGCTCAGAGCAATCAGGACCTTCTTTTTCTTCCTTCTCAGTCTGACTTTCTGCCCCAGAACCCACTGATCATGTTTCCTCCTCAATCTAACTCTCAAAGAAAGAAAAAAAGATGCAAGAGATGAAAGTCTCAGCGGCCTGTGATCTGGAATACCATTACATGACTTTACACGGGCCAGCTGGCACGTTCTCACTCCTGTTTAAACGTAGCCCAGCAAGTCAATACACGGCAGAACTCCTGCCATTCTGTGCAGGGAGATGCTTCACTGTGACTCAAGTCCCTAAGGTAGTGGCCTCTTCCTAGGGGGTACCAGTGTTCGGCAGGTATGTCTAATATCTCAAAATCCAACTGACAATGTACATTTCTCTACCAAACAGATGCTCTGAATAGCTATAATGCCAATTTCTATTTTTATTTATTTATCGTTGTTTTGGGTGTGATAACAGATTACCTCCCAGGAAAACAAGTTATCTAAACTATTAGTAACTCAGTCATGAGCTAATGCCTGCACTGAGTACCTGCTCTGCTCTGGTCACTCGGTCAGACCTAAGAGATCACTCTAACACAGTTCCTGACTCCATTATGCTCAAAATCGAGTAAGAAAAACAGACGTAAGCAAAACAATTACTGTACAGTGTTAACTGCTGTGAGCCAGAGAAGGCGCAGCGTGCAGGAAAGACAGCGTCTGACTGAGTCCAGAGCAGAGCTCGGTCACTGCAGCCCGCAGGACACAGCCAGCCCACTGGCTCTTTGGGGTTCTGTTGGGACACGGCCACGCTCATTCGTTATATGTGGCTGTTTCCGTGCTACGGCTATGCCGGCAGAACTGAGGATTTGTGAGAGAGAGCTAATGCCCCAAAGCAGAAGGTCTTTACTCTCTGGCCCCTTCTCACCACTGGTTTAGAGGGATGTGCAAGATTCCTCACGGCGGATACAAAATGGGAAGGCCACTCCAGATAAAGGGACCATATGCACCAAGGCAGGGGTACCTGACAGAATGGGGTGTTTGGCGTGTTCCGTATCAACAGAACAGAACCGTAAGTGCAGGTGCAGTGGAGCTGGTCAAGACTGATTCAGAGGAGCTTAGATGCCATGCTTGGACTTGGGACAGAAGTCAGTGAAAGGTAGGCAGATACACATTCTAGAACTATCACTCCTAGAGAGCCTATGAAAGGCTGACCAGCGTGTTGGCTCAACGCCTGGAAACCCTGGATATGTCTAGCCCAAGCTTCCGAGCAGGCAGAAGGAGGGCTTGCACTGAGGTGCTGGGGATCAGTGGAAAGGAATCCTTCAGGAGCTAAAAATCGACTGAACTTACAGGTCACATTGACTGTATCTGTGGGATAAAGAGAGCCTAAAATGAGTCCAAGATTTCTGGCTTTTATAACAGTGGGGTCACCAAAGTGAGGGAATCCATGTGGTGTAAATTTAAGTTCAGAGGTAAGATATGGGGTCACCTTTGAAGGCACTGTTTGAGGTGTGGAGGTGTCTAAAAGGAAGTTCGGCTTCCTTTTCGTTTGAGCTGATAAAAGGAAGTTGTCTATCTGCATCTTGGTGTCACTGCAACTGGGCGATAGTTAAAACCGAGGGAGAAAATTAGAGGGCCCAGCGTGAAAAGACAGCCAAGAACAAAGATGCACACGGGGACCCTGTGCTAGATCACCAGTGGTCTCAGAGCTGGTGTTTGTAGCGAGTAGCCGGGTCGCCCGCCATGAATGTTTTAGACAATATAAGTGACATCTGCCCACCACTTCTACCTGTCCTTTCCACTGTCTTTCAAATTCCCAAGAGGCAACATTATTATGCACCACATGGATTGCTGGAGACACCAGCTATGCTGTTGGAACTTCCTGCCTCTACTTGCTTGCTCGTGCTCCTCAACTCATTCCCACCAACCGAGCCAAATCTCCGCTCCCCGGAGTTTCCATTAACGACATGTTTTCTTACTGCTCATTTTCCTGGGTCTTTCTTTTTTTTTTTTTTTTTGGTGAGGAAGATCAGCCCTGAGCTCATGTCCATGCCAATCCTCCTCTTTTTGCTGAGGAAGATCAGCCCTGAGCTAACATCTATCGCCAATTCTCCTCCTTTTTCCCCCTTTTTTCTCCCCAAGGCCCCAGTAGATAGTTGTATGTCATAGTTGCACATCCTTCTTGTTGCTGTATGTGGGACACCGCCTCAGCATGGCTAGACAAGCGGTGCGTCGATGCGTGCCTGGGATCTGAACCCGGGCCGCCAGTAGCGGAGCGCTAAGCCATGAGGCAGGCCCCTTCCTGGGTCTTTCTTTAAGATTAAATACTCCTCACTAGTTTTCACTTGTATTGAAAGCCTGTCTTCCCCTGGCGACACTGTCCCAGTGACTCTCTGCCCCAGTGCTGGTCCTCGTCTGTCTCCTGCCCCTAACTGAGGTGCCCTCTGCTCTGCCCTCCAGGCACAGGGATGTTCTCTCCTCTGAGATCTTGTCCATTCTCCAGTTCTCTCTCCAGATGATGCTCATTATACCTTACCTATACCTTCTTATAATAATTATCTATATAATTAATGTAATAATTTTAATTATCTTTTGTAACAAAAATCTTCTGGCGACGGTGACTGTGTCTTATTTATCTCTGAATCTCTGCAGCACAAGCATGCAGCAGATAAGCAAAACAAGGGTGAAATGGCCCTTCCCTGTCTCATCTATCTTATCTGCCATTTTATCTGTCCCCTGTTTTATTTCATCTATTCTCTGTTCTGTCTGGCACTGGGCATCAACAACAGACACCCAGGCTCCAGACTTGGAGAGCTCTGGGTTCTCTCTCTCTTCTATATCCCGTTGCTTCTTCCTTTCATGTTTCTCAAATTTCCCATCCTATTTCCCTAGAATGGCCTCCAAATTAACTCATACTCGAATATTTTCAAAAGGCTGATATAGAAAGGATAAGCACAAAATATTAAAGACAGACAGAAGGATCTTTTTATAAAGAGGAGGGTGCTGGTTGACTGTCACGGGCAAGTGTTAGATTTCAGACATCTCTGGGCCGATCCATAAAGCAGCATCATTTATGGACTGTGCTGAGGGCTGCTCACATTCCTGCACCCAGGGCAGAGATGCTGCAAACCTCACTCAGCAAGGACAAGCAACCTGCCCAAGGCACAGAGCCACAGCTGTCTGCCCCTAACCCCCGACCAGCCCTTCTAGGCCACCTGGCTTTCCAGATTCAGGTTTGCTTTACTCTCCTGGGGTGGGCAGGCCACTTTTCAGGGGACGAAAAATCCCGGAGCATGCGTAGTTAGGACAATAACTAAATTTTCCCAAAAAGTCTTTCTGATCTCCATGCCAAGCTGAAATTCTGACATCGTAACACAGCCACAGCATCTGAAGCTCCTTTAATGACAATTGCGTTTAATGTAGTTACGTTTCCTATTCTCCTTCAGGATGCTATGAACACGCAGAGTACCAAATAGAAGGAAGGGCTAACCAGCGACAGAACTGACGAAACAGGATGTGATTAAGACGTTGTCACATATTTCAAAATAGAAACCTTTCCTTGTCTCTTTGATTCCAGGAAGAGGAGGAGAAGGAAATAGTGTGTAACTGTGAAGACCAACAACGATTTTAAAATACATAAACTGGACACGAACCATAATGAACGGGAACATGCTCAAACTTAATTTTTTTTTTTTTTTTTTTTTTGGTGAGGAAGATCGGCCCTGAGCATCTGCCAATCCTCCTCTTTTTTTGCTGAGGAAGACTGGCCCTGGGCTAACATCCATGCCCACCTTCCTCCACTTTATATGGGATGCCGCCACAGCATAGCTTGACAAGCGGTGCGTCAGTGTGCACCCAGGATGCGAACCAGCGAACCCCGGGCCACTGCAGTGGAGCACGCGCACTTAAACACTTGCGCCACCGGGCCGGCCCTAAATTTTTTTTTTTCTTTGCTGGGAAAGATTTGCCCTGAGCTAACATCTCTTGCCAATCTTCCTCTTTTTTTCTTCCCCACACATGGTTGTATATGCTAGTCATAATTCGTTCTAGTTCATCTATGTGAGCCACTGCCACAGCATGGCAACTGACAGATGGGTGGTGTGGTTCCGCAACCGAGAAGTGAACCTTGGCCGTGGAAGCAGTGAGCACCGAACTTGAACCACTAGGCTGTCAGGGCTAGCTCTCAAACTTATTTTTTAAAGGATTTTAAAATAAGTCAAAGACATATTACTTACAAAATGATTTCTCTAGTCTACACACAATTTCAAGTGAATTTATCTTGCTTTGTCACTTTACTGATTTAACAAATATTCATTGAGCACCTACAATGTAAAAGAAACATGTGAGATGAAAAATGAACAAAAACTGGCTTCTGATTCCAGGAGTTTACCAGCAGGGAAGAGAAAACACTACGGACTGTTATACAAACTGGCCCAGGTGTCCTAGGCCAGGTACTCAGGTGGACTAGAAGAGATGAGGAGGGGGTCCTGGGCAGGGAATAAGGGAGAGCTCGGGGAACCTCAGCTGAATCTAACACCAGCCACATGTCAGGCCCTGCCCTGGGCGTGAGGAATACAAAGATTAGTAAGATGGAAGGCATTTGACTTTGTGGTAGAAATGATTATTAATAGCTGGTACATAATAATTTAGTTAATGCTCACAACCGATGCAGAATTTAGGTTCTATCAGAATCCCCATTTTAAACGTTCACAGCCGCATCTTAATAAGAGGCTGACACACACGACAGTAAAACTATTGAGGGAGCGTAAAATCATTACTAAGCGAAGAGAAGGAGTAGCTTTCCAGCTGAGTCACACACATGGCACTTGATGTCCAAGGCTCCTTTCTCAGCCTTCATTTCAACCACCCCGGCCCCTCCACCAGCCCCTGAGGTCCTCAGCCTGAGGGGCCTCAGGAATTTGGGCCCGGGCATCTGTGGCTGTCAACGACTGAAGCACCAGGGAGACTAGTAGTTCAATTGAAAAGTTTTCTCTGCACGTGATGCAGAGACGGCAGCCCAAAACATGAAGACAGACCTCAGAACCCACGGAGAAGGAAGGAGGGGGACAGGTGTCCATGTGGAATTACCTAGACAGTGACCACCCTGTGAGAGGCTCCAGAGAGGCCTCAGGAGGTCACAGAGGAACTCCTGAGAAACCTCCCAGGAGGGAACCAAGGAGCCCATGGCGAGGGCTCCAGGGGGCCACACACAACGCAGGGCACTGTCCAGGTCAGAGGCCAGCAGAGAGAGGCCACTGCAGCGTGACTCACAGGATCTCCCAGTGGGTGGGGAGGAAACAAGAAAAATCAGTGGACTTAAAGTCCACGTAGGAATCAGGATGAAGATAAGAAATTCTTGCTTTTCCAGCAATGTAAAAACAAACATAAAAGAGAGGCCCTGAGAAGAACAAACCAAAATTAGGAAAACCTGCAAAGAAACAAGGGAAGTATTTAAGATTCAGAACCAAGAAAGAGCTGAGAGAGAAGCAGGGGACTGTGTTTCGGGAGAGTGGTCAGGAGTAAGATGAACCCCACCGGGCACACGTCTGCACCCGGGCGTCACTCATCCGGGAGGACACAGTCCAAGGGCTGAGAGCTAGGCCCCGGTGCCGGAGCCTGTTAGCCATCTCGATGAGGAGCCTACCCCGTCTTACCCCTCCAGGCCTCGGGCTCTGCCACAAGAATAAGATGTGTTCACACATGTCAGCTCTCAGAAAACTGTGGCACAAAGTAATCTCGATGAACACAAAACCCAGCCCAGCCACAGGCGGTCGGAACCTTACTTGTGATTTTCAAGTTCCCCTGAAGAGGCCATTCTCCCAGCTGAGGCAGGACCCTAGGAGAAAACAACACAAAACAGTGTTCAAAAACAAACTGAAGCATATTAAAGATGTTAAGAGTTCATCGGAGCACAAATCAGTCTAATGGGACAGTGGCCCGGAGCGCTCCTCCGAAGGGAGCTGCAGAGAGACAGAGAGAAGGCGCGGAAGCAAACCGAGGAAACCACTGATGGGCTGCAGCTTGAAGCCTCGATGACTATTTGAGGCTGGCTGTCCTCAGCGTTTTGATTTTGTAACCTTGAGGCATTCACAGGCTCACATTTTGGTTTGCTAACACAGGCTGCCTCGGCATTAAAGCCCCCTCAGTCTAGTGGCCTCCATGTTTAATTAATTTAACACTAGTGAATCCCCCAGTAGAACCAAGGTCACCCTGACAGCGAGGCCACGCTAACCTGTGGAAGGTCAGTGCAATCAAGAGGAAGTCTTTACGAATTTACATCACAGGTATGTATGTAAACGTCTGAGTCAGAGGGTTGCTAATTTCAGAGAGGAGCTAGCAAAAATGGGCCAAAAGCCAAAGGGGGCTGGCATCTCATACTTCGGTAGAAAACCTCTCCTCACTTCCAGGCTTCCCAGCCAAGACCGCCTTGACCCAATAGACCAGCCTGGCTGCCCCACCCTTCTAGAATCTTAACTGTCCTCCGTCATGTCTCCAGGACAGCTCAGGTGAGAGGCAAAAATCAGGGTAAAGGCTCCAGCTCTCAGGGACATGCCTTGGAAAGGAGAGGGACCTGAGGCGGGTATGACTCAACCCTCTGCCCTGCCAGCACTCCAAAGCCAGAGGCAGGAAAAACCACACAGACATAACCGCAGTGATTTTACTGGGGCTCCGCAATCAGAACACTGACCTAAGACCACGTCTCCTTGTGGAGAAGGGCAGAGCTGAGCTAGAGCACCTGCTGGTGAACTCGTTCGAGTCCCCGAGAGCCTTGCACCTGCCAGGTTCCCAGTTCCCCCAGGCCTGGTGGGAAGGGCACGGTCCACTTTACAGACAGGAAAGTGAAGCTAGGGTTTGGCAACCAGGATGAATGGAGTCTGCGGCATACAGCCAGCCCATTACTCCCAGGACAGGTTCTCGACCTGGTATCTCACAAGACACCTATGAAAAAACTAGAGCCCACCAAACAAAACTCCAAAGGCCCCTGTTGGAGAAAGGGATTTATAACTCTTATTACCACAGTTAAATACTGACCATTTTTAGCAAATTCTGAAAACCAGAGAATATTATAAGAAGTGAGTTTGTGTAACAGCTAGATCTTATGTTAGCATGATGGAAGCCATCTTAGGGAAAGGAAGCAATATTGTGACTCTGACTCTGACTCACTAGTCTCTGAGAATACATTCTAGCCTGCACGTAGCCTAGATGATTAAGCACCTGTCACTTTTACAAAATACATGATCTGCTACTATTATGACTCCTACTATCATAAGATGATGACTTTATTTTCCGAGTTCCCCAGGAACATGACGACCTCCAGAAAGAAAAACTCTGCATCGGTACCCATCCTGAATGACAGAAGAAAGAGATGATGTGGCACTTTGAAGTTTGTCACACCGAATGGTGGGTGTCCCTAAACCCCCTCCTTCCCTGCCCATTTCCCCTATATATTCTGTATGACTTTAAGATGGCTTTTTAGGACACTAGTTCACCATCTTCCGATTGTGCTGGCTAATCATATAAACTTTCCTTTCTCAACCACTGACTTGTTTGCAATTGATTGGCACTGGATTGCCCTGAGCCGAGCGAGCCCTTTGCTCGGTTACAATTGTAGGAAAAACTTGCCTGCATTTGTTGCCTTGTCTCTCTTCACTGGGCTTTGTCTTCTCTAGGCATTTATAGACACCTCTTTGGAAATGCCAGCCTCTCTCAGTCCAGCTAAGGAGAGCTGAGGAAGGCAATGAAGTTCAAAAGAGGTACTGGCCCTCACCCCACACCACCAGGGCCACAGGTCAAACGCAGGCAAAGGGGAGGAGCGGGGAGCTGGGGGCCTTAAGGGCAGTGGTTGCCCATGATGCCTGATGGAGGGACCCTGGGTCATAGACTTCTGTTCTGTGATATTGTGATTAAATATATATTTGGTCTTAGTCCCTTTCTGGCTCATGCTTCCAAAACCCAGGGAATTTCCTAAGTGTTGAGAGTGATTTAAAGTGTCTTTTGTTATGTTAATGAGGCACCTTGGAAAGCACTTCAGATGGGGGCTGGTTGCCAAGGGAACCCACCAGGTGATTAGAAGGTTGGAACTTTCAGTCCCACCCCCTGACCTCCGGGGAGGGGAGAGGGGCTGGAGGTTGACTTGATCACCAACGGCCAATGATTTAATCAATCATGCCTCTGTAATGAAGCCTCCAAAAAACCCAAAAGGACGGGGTTTAGAGAGCTTTCAGGTTGGTGAACACGTGGAGATTTGTGAAGAGTGGCGCCCGGAGAGGGCATGGAAGCTCCTCGCCCTTTCCCCATACCTTAGCCTACGCATCTCCACCATCTGGCTGTTCCTGAGTTATAGCCTTTTATAATAAACCGGTAATCTAGTAAATAAAATGTTTCTGAGTTCTGTGAGACACTCTAGCAAATTAATCAAACCCAAAGAGGGGGTCAAGGGAACTCTGATCTATAGCAGGTGGGTCAGAAGCACAGGTGACAATCTGGACTTTGACTGGAGTGTGAGTGTGAAGTGGGGAGAGCAGTCCTGTGGCACAGAAGCCTTAAGCTGTGGGATCTGATGCTATCCCCAGGTAAACAGGGTCAGAATTGAGTTGAATTGTAGGACACTCAGCTGGTCAAGGAGAACTGCTTGGTGGTGTGGGGAAAACAAACTGGAATTTTAATCAGTGATCAAAATCTTAGGTCATAATTTGCTTTCAGCATCCATCAAACAGATTTACAAAGACATCCCAGCTTCTGAAGAAGTCTGGTTTTCAGGAAACACAACCGTCAGCAGCAGCACCCTGCCGTCCCTGGCTCTGAGCTCTCCCTGGGGTCCCACCTCTCCTAGCCCTGCCAAGGTCATGCGGAGTGGGCTGCATATTCTATGTGCAGCCTCACCTTCCTGGGCAGCCAGCTCACAGCCCTCCTTGCTGGGCTCTCACTTCACCACTGAGAAAAGAAACAGTGCCTGGGGTCATGCAGAGTCATGGTCTCCAGGGCCAGTTTCTGTGGGGCAGGCAACGTTCCTCCCCCAGCAATATGTACCTGCCAGGCGGCCCTTTCTTCCTTTGGGGGTGGGGAGCTAGAAAGAGGAAGAACTAGGGGCGCCTTCTGGGCGTGCAGCAGCTGAATCAGAGAATGCACGGTATTCCCCAGAACGCTCACCAGAGAATCCAAGCCCTATTTTCCAGAAAAGGGAACCAGGCTGCAGAGAAGGCGTCTGGCCTGCAGAGAAAGTGTTACTCCAGACCTTGCTGCTTTTCTTGCCCCTGTAACAGAGGATCCAGCTCCCTGCCCAGTCCTTTACTTCGTGCTCCTTCCTGAGTCTGCTCCCGGACCTGTTTACTCCAGCACTCTTGGTGCTTGCAGGTGCTCCCCTCCACGCTCTGAGCCTCCCCAAAACTTACTCCTCTCCACGCCCCAGCCCTGCACTCGGTGAGGTTTTATTCAACCAACTGTGTGCAAAGAACACCGCAGACTTTTGCAATGCTCTTTTGCAAAGTTCTCTGTTAAATAACTTAGGATGTCTGTAGGCGGAGTGATCACGCATGCAGGTTTGCCTTGGGAGTCCTGGCAAAACTATCAGAACCGCAATTCACTCTCAAAAGATCTGGGTGTGAAGGATAAATCATATGGTCACCTCACCCACCCACTGAGGACGTGAAGGAAGTGTCTCCCCTTAGACCAGTTGGAGCAGAGGGTGGGAACAAAAGCCAGTCCACCCTCGAGGCAGGTTACTCTTGCAGGGTGTGGCCCCCTACCCCGCACCACCCCCTGCCATCCCCCCAACCCCCAGGTGAGGGCCGGACAGTGGGAAGAGAGTGGGTATTCACTCTGGTAAAAGGAGACTCGGGTGATAATTCAGAATGAAGTAATAACAATTCAGGGACACAGCGCTATGTTTGAATTTCAAAAGAAGTTTTCAAGATAAAAAAAAGTGAATAAGGCTGCATTTTCTCCAACCTTCGAAGGAATCAGGAAATAAATCTAGTGACTGTTGCAGTCCCTGTACTACTGAGGCCAAACTTTGGCCGAAAAGGGTTTAGTGAAGAAAAGGAGAGGAGTCCCAGTCCCCAGGGTCCACTGCCCGTCCACTCAACTCCAGGTGACAACTTAAGGCCCAGACAAAAGGCCTCCTCAAGGCCCTGTCTCAGCCACAGGAGGGAACACCTGAGGGACTGCCTGGCTACTCAGCTGGCCTGGCTTCTGCACGCTGAGGACAGAGGATAGGGATTCTCAAGCACTACCCTTGTGCAGTTTAACTAGGAGAGGTCACACATAGAATTCAGGAAATATTTCTGACAACTTCTTTTTAAATTGTTTTACTGAATTAAAGTTATTGCATACCCTGGATCTTTTTCCTCCAACAGCCGGTATGTGGAATGCATTTCCTAAGGCTATGTGCTTGACGTTGTAAAATGGACTTGCAGCCTCAGCATCATCTTGTAACCACAGGCCCACTAGGACCAGCTCAAACTGACCCCATCTTATCAACAGAGTTATTAAGAGGTTTATTTCAGAAGCAGTGAGCAAAAAATTTTGCAAGTCACGTAGCCAGAACATGCACAGCGGAGAAAATCTTGACCTGAAATGAGACCAGAACCAAAGATTCTCACTCTCTTCAGAACCAAAGGACCAGGACACGACCAGAACTTAAAAAGTCGGACTCTTATCTGAAGTGAGGGGTCCGCTGTCGAGGAAGATCCAGTGTTAAAGCCCCTTCCACACGTTACCATAAATGTTTAAAGCTCTCCAATTAAAACCTGCCGCACTAGCATTTCTGAGTACCAGCATGTTCTCCCTAACCTCTTAAACTTTGCCCCAAACCGTGAATCGGGCAGGACAGATTTGAGAGCTTTGCCTCTGGTCTCCTTGCTGGTGGACCTCACAATAAAGCCTTTTCTTTTCTCAAAAGCTGATGCCATAATAATTGGCTTTTTGTGAGCATCCCTGTGCGGTAACAATCTCAGATGGAACCCTGGTGCAGCTTCCACTTCTGGTTTCCAGCACGGCTGAAAAGCCAACTTGCCAAACCCAGTCACTGAATTAGCCTACTACAGCGCTATTCACCCCAAGCAAGGTGCAACCTGGTCCTGCCTCCTCCCTCCTCATCTTCCAAGAGCTATGGCTGGTACTGCAATAGCAGGGGGAATTCTGGAGCTTGCCTAGTGCTTAGTTCACTGGGGTAAAATCTTTCATCTTTTTATTAACATAAATAGAAAAAGCATTAAGTATCTGTAAGATAGCAGAAAGTGCTAAGCATTGCATGCATTACTCATTTAAGTAACTTGTGAAATCACTAACAGGTAACTATCCCAGACCCTCGTGGTATACCTGTTCAGTTTAGAATCTGGCTACTGTAAAAGCACCTGCTACGGTGGGTGTGATATGAAGAGAGATGAGAAAGATCAAGGAACACTGAGAAGCTAGAGTTCACTGTAACAAAGGCAGCCAGCCAAGAGTGAACTCCATTGCAGGCCAGCTAAAGCAGAGAGCCCAGGAAGGTGCAAAGAGCACCCGGGAGGTTGCTTTCATTCAACATGAGTAATGGGTTGGTTCTTAATGATTCCTGACTAGGAATAGCCAGGAAAAGACGTGGTAGAGAGAAGACAGGACTAACAGTATTTACTGCAAGGAGACATGAAACCGCATAAGATGTGTAGGAAAGCAGCACTGGAGCAGACAGAGAAACCACTCAGCCAGCTCAGCTCAGGGAGATGGAATCAGGGGAATGGGCAGGGGCCAAATGCTCAGGCGGTGTGTGTCACCATAAAATACCTGAGCATCAGGTGACTGGGTGCCTCTGAAAGGTTGGAAGCAACGAACTGACAGTCAGAGATCTTCATGTTAGATCCTCGTGAAGGGATACAGAATAAGCCACTGTTGCATAACAATTATTCTGAGCTGAAGACATTTGAATTCCTGAAATCCCTTATCTGCCTAAAAGCAGAGCCTCCCAAAAGAACTCAAATGTCATGAATCCCCTCCTTGTAGGAAGCAACTCTAATCTTTTCTTCTCTGAAAAAAAACAGACATTGTCACTGTCATCTCTCATCTCCTCTCTAAGGGTTCATTTATCTTTCCAAAGTCCTTTGTGTTCCATAAGTGCTCCTCCTTCTAAGAAGTCATTTATTCTCTCAGAAGTGCCCCTCTGCCCCTCCCCATCCCCTATTAAGATGATTTATAAACCCCAAATTCTAACCACCTCCAGGACTCAAATTTTTCTGTGAACTCCCTCCAAATTCTGTCTTTCCTCTTGCTAATCTGTCTCTTGTCATTTTAATTTGCAGTCCCCCAAGAATTTAACCTAAGAGGATAGAAGTTTTTCCTCCCCAACGCATGATTCCAGCACAGTTGGATTTGAGGGGTACAGAGCATGAGCAGAGATGAACTAAGAACAGGAAAGTGGGGCACATTCTGCATCCACGAGGTGAAATCCTAAAGCCAGTCCCAGGCTGGCCAGGAAGGCTGCCAGTGACCCTGAGTCACTCGCCAAGCCCCGACCTGGAAGGGAGACAAGATGCATGAGGTTCTCCTCTCTGGACTCTTCCAGGTCCAAGGACAGCTTGCCATAAACAAGAAGTGTAAGAGGGCCCGCCCCCAGTGCAATTTCTATTCGTGTCATATAATTCATGACGGTCAAGTTTCTCTTTTGACTTGCCCGTCAACGCGATGCCAGTATTTTATGCTACAACACTTTGTTAAATGTTGGCTTAGCCTATACTTGAGCCCATTTGAACTCCGAAGCTTCGGTAACGTTCTCCAAAATGTAATTTTATTCCTTCCCCCATGAAAAGGGGAGTTCTAGCTGTTCCCGCACCCCTTCCCCACCAGGGTTTGGGCTGCGGGGAAGCCCTGCTCCGCCCCCATCGCATCGCCTCCACCCGGTGGATCCTCGCCGGGATACGGACAGACACACCGCCGCGCGCCGCCGGTGGCGGGGCGCGCGAGAGAGGCCGGCGGTTGGCGGATGGGAGGAAGAGCACCCTCCCGGCGCGCACCCTCCCGGCACCGCTCCCCGCACATCCTCGAAGCGCACCCTCCTGCCGGCACATCCTCCCAGCGCACCTTTCTGGCCTGGCTCCCCACACAGCCCGCTCCCAACGCACCCTGCTCATCCTCCTCGCTCGCACCCTCCTCCCCGCGCGCTCGCCCGCGCTCACCCTCCTCTGAGCGCCCGCACCCTCCCGGGCCTTGCGCACTCTCCTCCCGCGCACCCCGCGCGCCCTCTCCGTGTGGTCCCCTCCGCACGCACCTTCCCCGGGCCCCCGCCCCGCCCCCCGCACATCCTTCCAGCTAGTAGCCCGGGTCTACGCGAGCCTCAGCCACCTCACCGGCAGGTAAAAGGTTCCCGAAAGAAGAACGCTGGCCGCGGACCACTCACCGCGCCACACACGCTAGCTCAGCGCCGCCGGAGACAAACACCTCGCCTGGGGGCCGAGGAAGGGGCGGCTCTCCAGCGCGCCCGACTCGTTCACGAAGGCAACGAGGAGCAACGTGAGTTTCGGATCAAAGTCTGCGCGCCGCTCCCCAGGGGTCACCGCCGAGCCCCGCCCCGCCTGTCCGTCCGCCCGCCGGCTGGGCTGGCCGCGCCCCCGGCCTGGCGCCCCCGCCCCCGCCCCCCAGGTCCCGGAAGGCTGTCCGCCCACCTCCGCCCGCTATTGTTTCCCCCTCTGGAGCCGCGGGCGTGGTGACTACCCAGCCTCTTCCCTGTTACTAGTTAAGCCGCTCGTGCGACGAGGAACTCTTACCTGGTGTTTTCCTCCTGGACCGACAACAGAGGAGACGTGCGGGCAAGAGACTCTGACCGCCCAAGGTCAGACCGCTAGTGCAGGAGCCCAGGTCTGTGTGAGGGGGCCCAGCGAGAGCGCGCGAGGGCCCAGCCCAGAGAAACTGCCGGAGGGAAACCACGTGCAGTCAGCCCTGGCGGGCGGTCAGGAATGGGGGTGGGCCGTGTCAGCTGTGGTTCCTTTGATCTCGCCAGCCTCGGTTTCTCCTTTGGGACCTTCCTAGCCCCGGGAGCTCCTCAGTAGCTTGGGGAAAGCCAGGAGACGCTGGCCCAGGGAGAGGAAATGACTCATCCATTCAGAGTCACCAGCTGAGACCGGGGAACTGCTTCCAGCCACTGCTCGAGTCACCTGTCCCGGCTGTCCACACGCACCCTGCGTATACAGCCTGCACCAAGGGGCTGGGTGCCTGAGAACCTCGAGGGAGGTGGACAGCAGTGGCCGGTGACCTCTGGGAGATTAGGACCGTTTTTCTTTTGTGGGGGATCAGAATTGGCTACCCTAAAATGTGTCTCTTTGCCTTGGCTTGATTATTTTTAAAAACAAGACTCTGAAAGAAACTTTGGCCTTCCCCCTAACTGCCTAAAAGAATGTAAGGTGAAGGCCTGGGGGACAGGCCTTCACCATGGATAACTCTCGGGGTTTCCTTAGACTGGGAGAGTCCTCGCTAAGGCTGTTCTTATCAAAGTGCTGTTTACCAAACATTTGCTTTTCCATCTGCCTGTGAATTGCCTTCCTCCCCTTTGAAGTCCCAAACCTCTACCCACAACATCTCCTTTGTCTTTAGCTGAAGATGGTATTTAAGATGAGAGCCTCCCCCATTTTGTTGAGTTACCCAGTTTTTCCTGAGTCTTTCCCGTGTATACATGTTATAAAGCTTTGTTTGATTTTCTCCTCTTAGTCTGTCTCATGTCATTTTAATTCATAGCCCAGCCGAAAGGCCCTGGAAAGGGTAGAGGATATGTCTTCCTCCCCTACGCTTTCATTTCCAAAAGGCTGCATGTGAACTGGAGAATCAAGTACTGCAGACTTATTTGTCAAGTTAAAACCTTGCAAATGTTACAGACTGGAAGTGAAATTGTGTCCAGCCATTTGTAAACCTGTTACAGACAGAAAAGCCAAGGGACACAGTCCTCACACCGCCAGGCCAGCCCCACCTCTTTCAAAGAGTGGCAGTGGCCTGAGAGGTGGCTCAGGAAATCAGTCACTCTGTGAAGGCCTGACCACACCAAACAATGACACCCACTCCTGTCCGCTTGCCAAAACCCGGGAGTAACGCCAAACTACTCGAATTCTCCCAAAGCTGTGCTAGTTTAGCATGGTTAACTGAGGCTTCTTCACCGCTTTGGCGTGCTCACCCCCAGTTCCAGGTGCCAGTTGCCCTTCCCTTTCCATCCCAGCAGCTCTCCCGCTTTCCTGAACACCATTCAGAGAGAGGGTGGAAACTTGGAAGAACAGTGTTTTCCAGATAGCCCGCCGGCCCCAAGAGGAGGTCATGAAACAATGTAGTGGTCACACAGCGTTTTGATTGTTGATGAGACAGAGTGGAGGAGAAAAGCATCCTCGCCTCACCTGTGGGAGGGCAGGTACCTTTGTGTCACACACAGTGTTCTAGGACCACCCACCGGAACATTTATAAGTGGCCCCAGGCACCTGATGGACGCCACCGGCGCTGTGCTCTTGCCCTCTCAGTCTTCACCTGTCCGAGAACTGCTGCTGGCATTCCTTCCCAGCAGGAAAGCGCAGGGCATCCGGGACTGTCCAATCTGAGACACCAAATGCAGAGGGCAAACGAGGGCTCCGCAGTGTCACCCCACCCCTTGCTGCCACACGGCTCTGTCTGCACTCAGTTTTCCATACGCCCTTCTACTTGATTGCTTTCATTCTAAACCATTATCTCACAGGGAAGTTCACCATTCCACCGGGAAGTAATAGTTAATTTCTTAATTGGTGTTCAGTGTACTATACAGCCCATAGTGACTTTTCCCTCCTGTGAAGTTACGCTGGTGTCACTGGGCCGTGCTCGTGCTAGCTGTTGACTTCTGCAAGTTACTGGAGCCCATCGGAGCTCCATTTGTGAGATGGGACTGATGCCTGTTCTGTAGGAGGGTCAAGGTCAGATGGGATACAAAAATGTGTTATAATTAGTATACAGATTAGTGGTACAATACATATAGTAGACAGTTGCTTGTCAGATTACAGTATACTTTCAACTCTCACTCACCATCTAGAACCATTCAGTATCCTGAGACACCTCTTTTATTGCTGCTTTTTTAAAAATTCAGGTTAGATTGTCACAGATAACCCTCAAAGGTGTGTTGGTGTAAACTGAGGAAGCTGCCCGTCATTTTCTGCAAGTGCGGTAGGAAACCAGTTTAGGAAACTGAAAAGCACTTGGTGGGAGCCACTCAAGGGTTAAGTGCATACAGATCACCTCAGTGCCCTCCTGCTGGCTGCCCCTCCATTTGTGTCAGTTCTCTGAACTCACCTCCTGTCCCCCGTGGTGTTTGCCTACTCTGCCAGAGTCGTCTCTTCAGTCCTCAGTTGGGTCTCAACTAAAAGGTCATTTCCAAGAGAACCTTCCCTGACCCCAGTCACCTCCCAGTGCCCCACCCCTCAAATTCTAGACCATCGCCCCACTGTGATTTTTTTATTGAGTTTTTATTGAGGAAATTGTGAAGTTTTATTGAGATGAGTGTCTATTATGATGTTTACTAGGATCTGAATGTGCCCCCCCAATCCTGTTAATGTGTTGAAATCCTAACTCCAAGGTCATGGTCTTAGGAGGTGGAGCCTTTGAGAGGTCGTTAGGTCATGAGGGCTCACGATGGGATTAGTGCCCTTGTAAAAAGACCCCAGAGAGCTCCCTCATCCCATCCACCACATGAGGACACAGCAAGAAGATGATCAATTATGAACCAGGAGTGGGCCTCACCAGACACGGAGTCTGCCGGCACCCTGATCTTGGACTTCCAGCCTCCAGAACTGTGACAAATAAGTGTCTGTTTGTAAGCGTCCCAGCCTGTGGTATTTTGTTACAGCAGCCTGAAGGGACTAAGACAAGTTGTAAGAAGTCATACAAAGGGATCTCTTGTTGCTTTTACTTGGTTTCCCCCATGAGAACGTGTTTCGGAACTGCAGCAGGGTGTCACAGCCAGGGCGTGACATTAACACAACCCACCAGTGCTCTTCGAATTTCCTCGGGGTTTTTGGACTCATTTTCCTGTTTAGTTCTATACAGCGTTGTCATGGGCCTGATACCACCACAGTCAAGATACTGAGTGGTCCGTCACCCCATGGACCTCCGTGTCACCCTTGGATGGCCCACTCCCACCTCCCTCCCAGCTCTCCTATACACCTCCACCCCTAAGCCCTGGCATCCACTAATCTGTCCTCCATTTCTAAAATTTGTCACTTCAAAAATGTTATATACGTGGCAACATACTGTATCTAACCTTTGGCCACTGGCTTTTTCCACTGCAGAATTCCCTGGAGATTTGTCCTCGTTGTATATTATCAGTAGTTGTTCTTTTTTGTTGCGTGCAGCGTTCCATGGTGTGGATGTGCCTCAGTTTGCTTAACCATTCACCTGCTGAAAGACACCTAGACTGTTTCTGGTTTTAGGCTGTTAAGAGTAACGCTACTATGCAATTACACGTACAAGTATAAGTTTTCATTTCTCTGGGATAAATGCCAAGAATGCAGTTGCTGGGTTGTATGGTAATTGCATGTTTAATTTTACAAGAGACTGCCAAACGGTTTCCCAGAGTGGCTGTAATAGTTTACATTCACAAGCAGTGAATGCAAGATCCAGTTTCTCCGAATCCTCCCCAGTAGTTGATGTCATTCTTTTTCATTTCATCCGTTCTGATCATGGTGCACTAATATCTCATTGTGGTTTTGAGCTGCACTTCCGTGATGGCTTGTGATGTTGAGCATCTTTTAATGTGCTTGTCGACATCTGGATGTGCTCTTTGGTGAAATATCTGTTCGTGTCTTTTCCCCATTCGCTAATTGGATTGTTTGGTGTTTTGCTTTTCTTGTTGAGATTTGAAAGTTTTTTGTATATTCTAGATACAAATTGTTTGTTGGATATATTGTTTGCAAATATTTTCTCCCAGTCTGTAGCTTGTCTATTTATCCTCTTCATCTGAGCTTTCACAGGGAAAAAGTGTTTTAAATTTTGATGAGATCAGTTTATCAATTTTCCCTTTTATAGATCATGCTTTTTTGTCAAGTCTAAAAACTCTTTGCCTCCCCCTATGTCCTGAGGATTTTCTCCTGTGTTTTTTTCTAAAAGTCTTATAGTTTTATGTTTTACATCTAAATTTGTTACCGAGCAATGGGCTCGCTCTGTTGGCCATGATCTGAGCAATCAATCACAAAGAGTTAGGGCTCAAGAAAGGAAGCTGTAATTCAATTAGCCGGCATAACCAGGAGACGGGTGACTAATGTCTCAAAAAACCCATCTGCAAGTGCAGAATCTTGAGGTAATTATGTAGGGAAAATGGGCAGTAAGGAGGGGGTTTAGAAATGTCAGCCTTCAGGGGCCAGCCCGGTGGCTTAGCGGTGGAGTGCGCGCGCTCCGCTACTGGCGGCCCGGGTTCGAATGCCAGTCGCACACTGACACTGCTTCTCCGGCCATGCTGAGGCGGTGTCCCACATTCAGCAACTAGAAGGATGTACAAC